TTGGAGGACTAGGGAGAATAAGCAGGTATGTAGCAAGAGGGGCTGAGGGGGAGAGGGGATGATTTGGGGAGACTAAATAAGATACTCCAGGGGAGGTTCCTCTCTAAAGAAAAGAATGAAATCTGAGAAGATAGAACTCTGACCTCTTTCCATCCCTCTCTGTCTCTCCCTCATACACATTCTCGTTCTCTCGGTGTGTCTCTGTATCTCTGTCTGTCTGTGTCTTGTCTGTCACTCCCTACCTCTCTCTCTCACACATACAAATAAGGCCATGGAAGGCCTAGAACCTCCTGTCCTACACTCCCTGTAGGATCTGGCCTAGAACAAGGAAGGCCCTCAATGTGTGTGTGTGTGTGTGGCGGGGGGGATGGTGAGCCTCTGTGTAAGTGAACATTTCCAAGAAAGCATGACTGCTAATAGGCTCATGGACACCCCAGGGACAAGGCATTGGGCACGTCACTATCCATAGTTGGCAGTTCTCTCCTTTACATTTCCACACAAGACTTGTGGGAATTTCATTTTCCCTTTTTTTCTCTGTCCCATCTGGAAAATATTGCAATGTCTGTGTTCACTTCCCAGAGTCCTTTTCATTCTGGGGCTGAGCTGGGTTTTGCTGTTCTTTGCTTTCACACAGGCCTGTAAGGTATATCCTCACCTCTGCCTTCTTCCCTCTGCCAGTAACCATTTATGACCACAGAGCCTCCTATCCCCTTGTTATCTTCTTTATTGAAAACAACTCTGTTGCTTGAACTTGCCCAAGTTCTTATGATGTCAATGAAACATCCTATGAAACGCTGAGTCCTCACTACCCAGGACCTAGTATAATTTGGATGTGCTCAGGTAAGAATACAAGCCAGGGTAATCATCAGTCATTTGAACCAATCAAAAGCAATGCTTTGCCCTTGGAGATTTTAGGATGCCAGAGTGGTCATTAGCTCCAGGCTAGGGTGCATCAGTAAAGGTCCTTAGCTGAAACAAATTCTGCCTAACTTATATATAAGAAATGTATTGGAAGAATATGAGGGTAGGATTAATATATTCACAGAATTGACAGAGGATCAGAAGAATAAGGCTCTGTTCTGGACAAGAGAGTTTGGAGGGCTGGGAAAGAAATCTCAGCAGTGGCCTCATGTTAGAAACATTCATGTCATCATGAGTGAGTGCCAAAGATCACTTCTGTGTTTGATCCAATTAATTAAAATTCAAGGCCAGGAAAGACATTCCACTAGCTGAACAGAGGTTACATGCATTCTCTTGGGCAAACAAAGATGAGGAACGAGAGCCTCTAGACCCATTGAATTCCACAGGAAAAAGTATAAATCTGGATTTTCCTGTCCTTCAAAACTACACACATTGGCGAGAGATAACTCTCTAAAACAAAATTATGATGCTGTTGAGAACTATAAAGAAATGCTGAGTGGTCTAAAATTATACAGGTACACTACACAAAGATTCCTGTTTCCTAAAGTTGCATCGTGTCTGGTACATGGTAGGTGCTTAGTAACTATTTGCTGAATGAGTGGAACACCCCAGCCTTTCAGAGGTCCTGAGGAAGGTTGATCCTAGGCCAGATGATACAAACAATTATTAATTTTCAGATAAATCCTTTCTGGAGCCTCAACGTGGGACTACACCAAGCTAGTCCCTGATGTGGAAAGGTATGAAGTAGGATATGGGTTAAAGGGATAACTGGGAGAGATGGGGATCAAAACCAAATATGTCTGTCCATTTTCTCTCTTTCTTCTTCTCTCTTTGACCATCAGATCCTACTTCTATTACCTGCCTTTAAGGCAGGAAAGAGTCTTAGTGTTATTTACTGTGGACTATTGCAATATCAGAGCTATTAAAAGAGATCATAGCACAATTAACACTAAAGAGTTGAAAAGAATGATTCACATGCTCAAAACATCCATTGTTTAGATTCAATTTGTTTGACTAGTACAATGAATTTTCTCTAGGGTCCTTCAAAAAATAATTTTCTTTTCTTTCTGCTTATTGGAACAAAGAGTTTTCACTTAGAAAATGAAGTTACAGCAAGCTCTTGTGGATCTAGCATTTAAGGAAGATTATGTACCCTTCACTTCCACAGTATCCTTCTATTATTTACTGGACAATCCCTCAAATATACTTTGGAATATAACCCTTTATGTAAGAATAGTTTTAGATAAAGAAAATCTTCCTAGTTTTGCGGCTACCTTTGGTTATAAATAAAAGATAACCCTTTCTTCTCTCATGGAATCCGATTATAATTAATAAGTATTATTGTCATGTTGCTTTTTCCTACTGCTATTTCTACAAATGTTGAAACAAACGGTTGAAAGAAATTTTGTCAATAAGAAACAATACCAGGCATCTTTGCTTCCTAAGCAATGCTATAATAACCATTAATGATGAGTGAATAAAAAAATGGAAAATTATAATTATTGTATATTAGTTATTTTAACAATAATAAATATTTAATTTTAACACAGTTTGGAGAATTATTTTGGCTTTAACTATCAAAATTGATCCATGTATACTATAATCAACTGACAAAAATGAGTAATATAAATTGGCAACCTGATTTAAAATTTTTGACAACTCCAGGTAATATAATATACCTTATGGATATTTATACCCTCTGTCTCCTTCAGAACTAAATTCACCTGTTCACTTAGCTCTTACAATCCTTGTTTCAATTCAGTTCAACAAGATTGATTGATTGATTGATTGATTGACTGACTATGGGGCAAAGGGAGAAGAAGAGAGAGAATCCCAAGGAGGCTTCACACCCAGTGCCCAGTGTGGATCCTGATGCAGGGCTCAATCTCACAACTCTGAGATCACCTGAGCTAAAATCAAGAGCCGGACATTTAACTGACTGAGCAACCCAAGTGCCCCTCAAGGAGATTTACTGAGTGAAAGTCTGGAGTTGGGTGCTCGGTTAGGCAGAATAAGACATGCAAAGGAGAGTAAAATAAATTCCCTGCCTTCAAGAGTTTGTGGTCTGATAGGGTAGGTGAGGCAAGTACAATCATACTGAGGCAAAATAGTAAGTATCAAAGTGAAGTACACAGTTGTGTCTTCAACTATATAAAGGGCAATTCTGTGGAAAAGGAGAGAATATGTGTTTTCAAACTTGCCAGTATGCCATGACGTATAAACCCATCTGTTGGCTGGTTGGCTGGGAAATAACTGTACTGTAGAAGTAATTTGGTCATTGCTCCTGGGAAACATCTGGTTTCAGATCTATGTAAAGCTGGAGGAAATAATGCTTACCGCCTCTCTGTTTTACAGGCTTATTCTGTGGATAAATTGTATGATATTTTTAAAGGCCCAAATTTCATGAGGACATCATAAAAATGAAATTTGGTTAGTCAATCTAACCCGTTAGGATACATAAAAATGTTATGAGTGCTTCTGCATATTTCTTTGTATAAAAATCATTATAGGATTGAAAATACCATCCCATATTCTCTATCCATCAACTCTACAAAGAACACTGTAAGCTTAAATAAAAAACGGTTTGCTCTCAGGTGCAGAATCAAAGTGGGCAGAGCTGGTGGTGTCAATGAGCATAGACCCATGCCCTGAGTGACCGCTGGTCCTTTCTAGACACAGAGAAGGAAAATTAGCCTGAAGAATCGCTAAATTCCTTAGAAATAAAGGCTAGTTATGAATGTTGATTGAAAGGGTTGATATCAAGTTAATGGCAAGCTTTCAAGAGTAATTTGAAAGTTGGTATATAAAAGCTGATTGAAAGAAATTGGGAAGAAAGGGTCAAAAAGAAAAACCAAAGAAGTTAGAGGAGAATAGGGTAAAGTAGGGAGCATGATAGCCATATTCAAATACACAAAGGGTAGTTATGAGCTGAGAGATCAGAACTTGGAAAAAAGAATGTCTAGAGATAAAGAGATGTAATTTGGGGTTGACTAGAAAGAAAACTTTCTGATGATTATGATTTTACAAAATTAACAGTGGGCTATTTGGGAAGGTAATCATCACTGGCAATGCTCAAATTGAGTCTGAACAACCACATAGTACTAGGAATAATAAAAAGGAGGGGAAGGAGGACAGCAAGAACAGGCACCATCACCATTTGTGCCTCATCATGTGCCAGGCTCCATGCTAAGTGCTTTATGCACATTATTTCGTGCAGTCCTCACCACAACCCTATGTTGTATATTATTATTTCCATTGAAAAGAGAAGAATCTGGGGCATGAAGGATATAAATAACTTTCCCAAGGTCACACACATAGTATGTAGCTAAGCAGAGATTTAAATTTAATTCTGACTCCTAAATCTATCATATCAAGTGCCTGTCACATCCCTATTATTGGAGATGTTGAGTAAAAGATTTATTTTTTAAAGATTTATTTATTTGAGATAGAGAGAGAGCATAAAGGGAGAGGGAGAAGCAGACTCCCCGCTGAGCAGGGAGCCCAGTGCAGGACTCGATCCCAGGACCCTGGGATTATGACCTGAGCCAAAGGCAGATGCTTAGCCAACTGAGCCACCCAGGCGCCCCGAGTAAAAGATTTAAACAGCTTTTCATTTTTGCAAGGGATAGGTAAATCAATGATCTTACGCTGTTGTTGTTGTTTATCTTTCAAACTCAGAGATTCTACAACTCTACAAATATGAGGCACAGACAGATTAGATAATGTGTGAGTGTTACCAAGCTAGTTACTGCCAGAACTGTGACTGGAACCTACTTCCTGAATCTCAGTCAGTCCAGTGCTCTTTTCACAGGGTCATTCTGCTTTCCAAGCATGGATTTCGGTGTAGGGAGAAGGAAAGCATGGACATATAATATGGCAAAATTCTCCCCAACTAATGCTGAGAACAGGCAAGACCAGAAAGGGCATTTGCCCCTCACACGGTAGGACGACCTATACAAGAAAAAGGATGCAGAAGACAGCTTTGTGTTTCCCAAGTATGTGAGAAAGCTCTTTAAAGCTTGAGAAGGGTTGAGATGCTGCCAGTGGGAACCATGTATGCTAGTTCCGAGAACACTTACCTGGTAAGGGTAGTATGATGACTCTACCCTGGACTTGTTAAACTCTTCAGTACATGAGCTGGGTGTACAGCCAAGATTTCTTATTTCTTTCCATATTCTGTTTGTGGTAAAGTGCTTTTCTATAGTTTTCCTCCTCAAATCTTTATAATAGCCCTGTCAGAAAATAGGAAATATATTATTAGCCTATGCCCATTTTATAAGTGAGGAAACTGAAACCCATGAATGGGATGTAAATGAGTCAGTCACAGAGCTGGTGCATGGCCGGGCTGAGAGCACGCAGCTATGCCAACTTGCAGAGCAATGCTCTTTCTCTGACACTACATTGACTCTCTTCTGTAGGCTACAAGACAGGATAACACAGAGGACTTCAAAAGCAAGTGCAATAGTCATATGCACATCTTATGTTACATTTCCTTCATATACTACTTTATTTTTCAAAAGAGAATCTGGCTTAAAGTATAAATATCACATTTACTAATCCATCCATAGCATTTTTGTGCCTCAAATGTATATCTATTTAAGTTAACTTAATGATTACAAAAGCCACATTTGGAAACTATTATATATGTAGATTAACTTATGGGTTCATTTGGGAAAAAGGAAAAATTACTAGAAAAAAGCAAAACAGACTACATTCACAAGGAAACAGGAATAGACATACTTGTAATTTTAACATGATTCAATGGCATATCCCAGTGGAACATTATTTTTAATTCAGTTTTTTGTTTTATCAACATCCATTTTTTCATGTACCAATAAGTGAGAGTATAGGAAGTGATTTTCTCAGGGGCAATGAGGTCTACATCATGTACATCACACATTTGTAGAGCTTAGGGTCAAAGGAAACAAACAGATTTAACCGTGAATAAACATGAAGAAGACTAATATTGAGGGTTTGAAAGGCTATCACCATCTTTTTACTGAGGTCAAGGAATCTAGACTCCCTAAGAAGTAAGGTGGTAAGGAAAGGAAAAACAGGCTTATATAATTGAAGATAGCAGGTTAACACTTTCTTTTCAACCTGTTTCATTATTTGAGCATACTAGTAACTCCAAAGAGAAAGTCTCCCCACCCACTTTGAATTGCTGAAGCAAGTGTGCTTAAAAGAAGGGAACACCTTTGGATTATTTCTTTTATCAACAGAAAATACACTTCTTGGTCATAAACACTAGAGATCACAAAGACTAGCGTTCAGAGCAAAACTGTGGGGGGGAAAAGTCTGCTTCTGTGCCAACAAAAAAAAAGAAAAGGCTAAAAAACTATTTAGGAATGAAAAACCACATCGAATTTTTTTTTTTAAAGAAATATTTCAGTATTCACTGAGTCTTTTTTTTTTTTTAAAGATTTTATTTATTTATTTGAGAGAGAATGAGAGAGAGCACATGAGAGGGGGGAGGGTCAGAGGGAGAAGCAGACTCCCTGCCGAGCAGGGAGCCCGATGCGGGACTCGATCCAGGGACTCCAGGATCATGACCTGAGCCCAAGGCAGTCGCTTAACCAACTGAGCCACCCAGGCGCCCACCACATCGAATTTTTAAATGTAGTAACAGATTGCTAGAGGTTATAGGCTAATTCTAATATGTTGGATACTTGCTTTCTTGAGGGTAAGTAGGTGATGGGATATAATGGACAACCTTGGGACATTCTAACCAATAGTGTAAAGGCTGGGTTTCCAAGGTAACAGCACAATACACGCTCTAGACAACTATATTGAACCAATAGGGAAGAAAATAATTTAAAACAAAATAGTGCCAATGAAAGATATTACTCAACATGGTCATAACTCTATATAGAACCCTCACTCCTTTAAAATTAAATACTTTAAGAAGAAAATTTATAAATCTAACAACAAAAATCATATGTAGATCCTGGAAGCATCCATTGGGCTAAGAGGCAAGAAGTTAAAAGTGTATATACATTCTCCCTATCTTAAAGATGACAAAATGAGGGCCTTCTGGGATTAAGTAACTTTTGCAAGGTTATGCAACTGACAAGTAGTAGAAATCACTTGACATAGCTGTTAGGACCAGTATCCGTACACTTCCACCAAGATGCCTCAACCTAGACCTGGGGCTGAAACATGTCAGGGGCCAAATGGGCACCTGTGTGAATGGAAATCCCCATTTGTTTCAATAGCTGAAGTTCTGTCCCACCAATTCTGTTTAAATCCTTTTTGCTGAACCTGACATGATTGGGTATAAAGACCCTATAACTCAGGAGAAGGGTCAAGCTCTGGAACAGACTTGCAAGTCATATACCTATAAATGGTGCTCTAAGCCATGGGTTTTGAATGTACTACAGATCATTAAAAGTTGAGAAGACCGATGAGTTAATACAGTCCTGGGAAATATGGATAGTTAAGAGCTTCAAAGAGGGAGAAACCTTAGGGAAAAAACTTAGCTTCCAGAAAGAAGTATCTGAATGGTGGGAAGAAAACCAGAAGAAACTGGTTTTGTAGAAGTCTCCAGCGAGTGGTCATCTCTGTAAAATATTACAGAAGGGTCAAGTATTGTTGCATAATATTTATAGGTTATACAGTATTCATAAGATAAAGGCCAACTTCAGAAACAGTTCCAAACCTAAAAAAACAAACAACAAAACAAAACAAATAAACCCTCCAGATTGTAAGACTCTTTCTGACATAGAAGATAGCCCATGGAATACCTTTTCCATCCTAACATTTATAAAGAAACTGCCATACCCCTAAGTCTGGCAACAACTCAATTTCTACAGATAGGAAATGAGATCACATAAGTCTCTTCAGCTCTCATACATCATACATTCCAAGAATCCTAATCTTCCTCAACTTCCTTTCCTAATTAGTTTACAAAACCTCTATGTGTGTCTCATCAGGGCCCCCAAAGCCAACCTTTCATCTCCTGTGCAGCTCACCATTTTCTTCTTCCCTTGCTCTTCATTCCTACAGTGATGTCTGACAATAATAATAATGATGATGATATTATTAATAGTAACTCCCATTTATTGAGCACTTACTATATGCCAAATATCATGTCGAGTACTCCACAGGACTTAATTTTTTTTTTTTTAAGATTTTTTATTTATTCATTTGACAGAGAGACACAGCGAGAGAGGGAACACAAGCAGGGGGAGTGGGAGAGGGAGAAGCAGGCTCCCCGCAGAGCAGGGAGCCCGATGTGGGACTCGATCCCAGGACCCTGGGATCATGACCTGAGCTGAAGGCAGTCGCTTAACCAACTGAGCCACCCAGGCGCCCGCACAGGACTTAATTTTAATCCTCAGAACAACAGGGTCAGAGACGGAAACGAACTTGCCCCAGGCTACGAGAAGGAAGGAGTAGAGCCGGACTCCAGGCCGCGTCTGTCCGGCACCCCTGGCACCCTGGGCTCTCCACCACCGCACCCCACTCAGAAGCCACGAAGGCACGCCACAGCCAGCTCTGCGGCCGATGGAGAGGGCAGCTTGACAGCGGCAGACTCTGCGTGCCTCGCCCCCTTGCCGTAATGCCACGAGACCCTGCTACCTTCCTCCGTGCTCTGATAGGCTAACAGGCATCTGCTGTGCAGGCTACTGTATTTGCTTCATTCACAAATAATAACTGTAAATGGCACTTTCACATCCTACCACTGGCATCAAAGCAAGCACAGTTCTTCATCAAAGACTTCTCGATCATTTTATGAAATAAGGCACCGGGGAGCCAGCCCCAGTGGACCTACAAATTTGTCTAGGCATGTCTGAATCCGAAAGGGAATACAACTTAGACCCCAACTAAAATCTCTGACATGTATAATTCTGCTTGAAATTCCCTTAGGCAATGCTGAGTTGCAGAGAGACCTGAACTTTTAAGAAGGAGAGACAAGGTTCCAAAGCACAGCTGCGGGACAAAGAGACGGACTGGGGGCTCCCGTAAACAAAGAACGTAGGCCCTAATCTTGGGACAGACTGGGAAAAATTGCAAAGGGTCTTTTTTTTTTTTTTTTTTTTAAGATAGAGAGGTCTTCAAATGTTCAAGGAGCATTAAGTGCCCAAAAGAGAGATCGGCCCTGGAGAGAGAGTTGTTTAAAAAGGGCAATTTAAGGTGACCTTTAAGTTAAAAGGAAAGATAAGCAAAGCTTTATCAACACAAAGCTTCAGCTAATCAGAGTTTACAACTTAATTGTGAAAATTCACTTGTTTTTTCTGATAAGAAGAATTAGGTAACTGACCTAGTTTCACTTTCACTTTGGCTACTCAGAAGTTTGGTACTGAGTTTGAGGCTTAATTATAGCAATAATAATTACAATGTGGGTCTTCACTGACTGCAATACTTACTTCTTTTTCCCTTTCTAGAAATTGTATGTTTACCCTATTTCTAAATTTTTATTTGTATTTACATTTAACCATTTAACAATATGTATACTTTGGGAGAAAAATTTTCATCATAGACAAATAATGGAAGATGACTGATAATATGATATATTGATAGACAGATACATAGACACATAGATACATGAGTGATGACCTGAGATCGTTGACAAATTAGTATAAAACAGGAAGAAACTTGGCAGGCTTTGGTGATTCATTGTGAGAATATAGGAGATTAAAGAATCAAAAAAGCCAAAAATGACTCCCAAATACTTCAGCTCCAGGGGCTAGGGAGAAAATGGTATCAGTCAAGACTGCAAAATTTATCCTGAGAAGCTGGGAAGGATAATGTGTTCAGTTTGTACATGTTTAGTTTGAAACCCTGGAAATATCCAGGAGGTAGTTAAATATATGAGTCTATGAGCTTGGAGAAATGTTCTGAACTGGATATATACTTTTTTGGTTTTTGTTTTATTTTTCCAGCAGCAGTAAAGAATGTAGTTTAACACAGGAATAAAAGCAGAATGTCCCCCTCTTCCTGGACTTAGCTCGAATAAGAGGAGAAACAATTCAAGGACAGAATTCTCATTAACACCGGCACCGAAGGGGAAAACAAAATAGGAAATAGGCAAAAAGTTCTGAATGGAATCAGGAAAGCACAGAGTTTGGAAAATAAAGGGATCAGGGTGTTCAATGAAGCAGAGAGGTCCGGTAAGAAAATACTGAAAATGCTAAAAAATTGGAGCAATCAGATTACTGATGACCTTATGAAAAGTAGTCCTAGTAACATGGTGGGAACAGAAACTACTCATTTGAGAAATACAGAAGAA